GCAAAACGGTAAGGTGCCATAGAAATCGGCGCTGTGCCGGGCACTAGATCAATAGAGAACTCTATCTCTCGATGAGGTGGCAAACTAACAAGGTCCTCGGGAAAGACATCCGAATACTCACAAACCACCCTCGGCAACACAAGCTGGGTCTCACCACACTCACCACTCTCAAAGCTAGCAAGTAGACCACTAAGCTCACTCCGCCCTCGCGAATCATACCCCGGTGGCAAAACACTACCAACCCGGTCCCCCAAGAAATGGAACCATTCCCCGCTCAAAGTACATAATGTGACCCTCTGGCGGTAGCAGTCAATAACAGCCCGGTATGACGATAGCCAATCCATACCCAAAATAACATCAAAGCCCTTCATAGGCATGACAACAAAAGGAACAGGAAGCCTATGGTCGGCGACCTCTATATCACAACCCCTAACACCTTGTTTCAAGATCAACTCGCCACCAACAGGCGATACTACACATATAGGAGATGCCAATAGTGCTAACTCCAACTCCAACACAGATGCAAATGCAGCAGATACAAAAGAATGAGACGCACCCGTATCAATCAACACACTAGCAACCGAGTTGCAAACAGAAAAGTACCTCTCACTACTGATGGAGCCGGTACTAGATCCTGCGCGGTAACAGCATACACGCGCCCTGTAGGCCCCTGATCCAGCTGCTCACCTCTAAGAGCAAAAGACTGCTGCACGGACTAGGATGACGAAGCTCCCGGGTTGGCCCTCGAGGCCTGCGCAGACTGAGCTGGCTGAAAGCTCTGCGTCTGCCTAGAACCAGACGCTCCCGAAGTCGCACTCAACTGCGGGCAAAACCTCTTCAGGTGCCCGGGTTGACCACACTGATAGCAAGACAAGGACTGGCCCCTGCCCTGGCTCTGGCCCTAAGGTCTAGCTGATGAAGAAGCAGCTCACTGACCCCCTCCCTTCTGCGGGCAAACCGAAACCTTGTGACCCAGCTGGCCACACTTGTAACAGGTGAAATCCCCCTGACTACCTCTCCCGGAGCCTGCAATCGGCACTGGAAAGGTCGACCTAGCCAAACCACCCTGAGACTGCTGAGCGTTAGAACCCCTCTGTCTCCTGCCGTCACCCTGACCATCTTGGCTCCTCTTGGAGCCTCTCTGCCCCTCATCCTCCTGCTGCATCATGAGCTCCATATGAGCTACAACATCCACCAAACGTCTATACTCCCGGATGAAAGATCCACCAACCCTCAACTTGAGGCCTCGCCTCAACTTCCGCTCAAACTCAAAGCAACGGCGTTCCTCGGACGCCACCAATTTAGGTGCAAACCTGGACAGACTGGTAAAAGTAGCCTCAAACTCGGCCACTGACAAGACCTGCTATTTAAGCTGGCAAAACTGTTCCTCAGCTTCTCCCTTGCAGCTGAAGATAAAAACTTCTCCTGGAAAGGATTCACAAACGCCTCCCATGCACCACCAACACTGCCCTTTTCGTATTTCCACCATTGACCCGCATCTCCCTTCAGTTGGAAGGATGCCAAGGTCACTTTCAATGCTCCGTCCTCGATGCCAAGCATCTCGAACGTCTTACTCATTTATTCTAACCACTCATCAGCCTTCAGTGGTTCCTTCGGATCTCCAACAAACTCGTCCGGATTAGACTGGAAGAACTCCCTCTTCAAGAAAGAAGGCCCTGCCTCAGCTGCCTGATTCCCTGCTCTGAGAATACCCAAAGCTCCTGCTATCTCTCGGGCCAAGGCACTCATAGCCTGCTGACCCGCTGGCTCGGCCACATTGGCCTGGCCAACAACCTCCTGCACTGCCGGAATATCATCCGGTAAAGGTACTTCCTGCCTCGTAGGACTACCATGCCTAGCACCTCTTCCTCGTCCTGACATCCTAATAAAGGTAATACAGAACGTTAGCACATTCACAAATGTGCCAAAACTAAACACTCACGTCCTATTGCATGGACAACTGTAATTCACTCCACGTAAGCACATAAACACATAAGCACTTACGAATTTCATTTCCGGATAATGATAGTCCCGAGGCGTTACTAGAGTTTCGATTAGAAACGGCATTGATCAAGTGCCTTTCCAACAAGACTCCCAGAAACCCAAGGATCCAATCAATATCCTAGAAACTAAATCCCATACCCACATAGTCACATAAGCATGTTATCAATTAAACACATAGCCTATGATACCACATCTAAGTCTCTATCAAGCAAGACAAACCCATTGTGATCCTAATCACTTCCTACGTACCCAAAGTATTCGAACCCGGTACGCTCTGATACCAAGTTGTAACGCCCTCAAAATAATAACATTAAACCCATCAATATAGACATACATTTATATACAAAAGATCCACATTCTTCAATTCATCAGAGTACTTCACTACAAAAGTATTACATGTTAACAACAAAAGCAAATGCCCTGCGGGCTTACCTCTTTTCAAGTTAACACTTGGTTACAAAAGAGAGTACTAACTCAATTACATATTAAGCCCTTGGCTTGAATTTATATGTAATACATCAAAAAATAAGACAACAAAAGTGTGTCCGCCTCTAGCCTCCCAAGCTATGTCGTTGGAGGTGGCATGCTACCTGTACCTGAAAATGATGTTCCTATATAGGGTGAGCCACAGCCCAGCAGAGATATACTAAACCAACTATGAACAATGACTAAAAGATTAGCAATTGATAGATGGCCAACACTGATACATCCACATATGCCACGTCACAATTTCTTAACATACGAGTCTATGTCACTTTTCACTCTCCATCTTTATTTAATAGATAAGCATATTAGCTATATCAACGCATCAACAGATAAAGATATTACGCATCAACCGATAAGCATATTAGCTGTATCCACACTTCACTAGACAAGCATATGAGCTATATCTACACTTCTCAAAGATAAGCCTATGAGCTGTATCTTCACTTCTCTAGACAAGCATATGAGCTGTGTCTACGGAGTTCATCCCCCATCTCCTCCCAACACTATCCCGTTTAGAGGTACATCCCCCATCTTCCCCTAAACCGCGGAGTACATCCCCCATCTCCTCCTCTACACACTCGCATTGCAGCACTTAGTTCCGTACAGCACTTTGTTCCATACCAAAAATTAATAGGTCTAATAGATTATACCGAACAACTCATCTTATATCATAGCATCAACAGATAAAATATCAATGTTTTCAAAAGTGGACGATTAACAAATCCAATTCCACTATTCTACCATATAATGAGTCAATTTCATTATTCCCAACTCAATTCCAAATATCAACATTTTTCCCAAATTAATTATACCAATTAATTTACACAATGAATTAAGGCTTTCTTCCCCATTTTCCAATATCGACCCAATGGCCCATATATCAACAATCAACATCAATACCGCTATTTTGAAACTCAAAATACTCATTTTAGAATCAAAATAATAAAACCCTCTTTGACATTTTGAAACCCTAAGTCCCAAAATTTCCTAACTTCAACACTTAATCAAAATCACCAAAAATCTATGTTAAAGACCATAAAAGTGAGTAGGAATCCCTACCTCAATTTCGGAGCCCAAGAGGGAAAGATGTAGAAAACTAAAATGCTCCAAACTCCAAGATTCACGGATCAAAATGAAGCCCTCGACGATCAACACACCTTTTACAAAGGGCAAAGGGAAGAAAAGCACTCTAATTAGATCAAACCCTAGAGAGAAGGGAGTTTCTAGAGAGAGGCTCTCAAAAATGGTTTTTTAGAAAAAGTAGGAGAGAGAAAGAAAAGTAAAAAGTGATTTAAAATCACCCAGCGGATAACTCATATACGCATGACCCGCTCGAGCGGAGAACACAACGCTCGAGCGCCAAGAACAAAAATCTGGACACGCTCGAGTGCCATAAGACCCGCTCGAGCGCCAAGACACAAGAATAAAGCACTTTCGCTCGAGCGCGAAAACCAGTCCGCTCGAGCGTAGATTTTCCCCTCCCAAAACTTATACCCAGAAAGTACTACCCGCTCGAGCGCCAACAAACCCGCTCGAGCGCTACCGCTCGAGCGTAAAAATCACATCTGCAGAAGTTTTGCAGGAACACGAAATACTGGAGGTGTGCAATCCCCGCTCGAGCGCAATAAGACCCGCTAGAGCAGACCGCCTAAAAACTAGGCAACAAGGGATTGAAACCAAGGCTTAAGCAACCTGTAGCAATCTTGCCCAAAACACCCTAAAACTCAATCAAGCGGAATTAAAGGATGACAACAAGATAGATACCACTACCAACTTCACGGAACCGAGTCCGGAATACAATAGAACAGTAAAGGGACAACCGGGATCGCTATAGAACCCAAACGAGTTTTAATCAAATGGAGTTCGAGCAACTTGGTATTTTACTGCCCATTTAAATTTATAGATCCGAGTTCGAACTGAACTCAAAAAATCGGCGAATTTCAAAATGTGTTCAATTTTAACTTATTTATATAATAAGTCATTCTTGAATTGTTTTTTTATTGAGCCGAATAGAGATCGAGTTAAAATAATTTGAATTGTTTTACCATCTTCACTTAAATAGATATGCCAAGAACATGAATATTAAATTAAATATGAAATTATCAAAAGAAAAAATTATCAAGGCACCGTGGTGAATTTTTTAAATAAAATTTTCTTCTTTTTCATATGTCCAATACTCAAATCTACAACATAATTTGCCTTATCTAAAAAATAACTAATAAGATTATGGAACAAAAATTCTTAAAGTCAAATAGAAAAATAATTATGAAAGATGGAAAGTAATGTGAAGAGCTGAAATCAAAAAGGTGGTTAGTTAATAATTAAGCAATAGAATTTATATTTCAAAAGAATATGGCGATATGAAATTATCAATTTGCCTGCCTAATGCTTCTCATTTCCGCTCATACACGTTTAAAACATGTGTTTGTAAGCTGTTGCAATAATAAGTTGTTGCTCATCCACAACTTTGTGACAGTCTCTAGCTACATGTGTTGTAAATTACTTTACAGGTTGCTTTTCCCATCTTGGAGGATTTGGAAATTCAGAAATTGCCTAACATAACAGAGATATGGGACAAGCAATTACTCATAGCCTCAGAAAAAGAATCAAAGTCCTTCTGCCAACTGAAAGAAATGAAGGTTTATAATTGTGAGAAATTGGTACATGTGGTCCAATTCAATATGCTCCCGCGACTGCAAAATCTGAAAAAATTCAACGTGGATAATTGTCCAAGGATGGAAAAGATAGTCTCGGAGAAAGAAAAAGAAGAAGGAACCGGTAGGAATGATATCATCATGTTCTCTCATTTATCAACCCTAAATCTTTCTGAGTTGGAGAGCCTTAAAAGTTTCTATAATGGGCCTACAAGATCTGAAGCACAACCATTGTTCAACCACCAGGTTTGATTTTCCTTTTTTTATCTTATTAACCCTTACCCTGGGAAAGCGTGCGCAGAAAAAAAATTTAAATTCTTTTTCCATTACAATTTTAAATTTGAAGCTTATTTGAATATTTTCTTTCTATCAAAATCCAAATAAAAGCAAAATAACTCATAGCCTCACTGAAATATAAATGCGAATAAAATTACAACTCAAAGGAGTTTTGTCAAACGGGATTACCAAGAAATAAAACCTAACAAATTCTAATACACCATATTTTTATTTTGAATTTGAATCTTAATATGATTTTATTTGACTAAAATATACATATGTTTGTCTTATTTATCATTTCAAACGAACCCAAACGAGTTTTAATCAAATGGAGTTCGAGCAACTTGCTATTTTACTGCCCATTTAAGTTTATAGATCTGAGTTCGAACTGAACTCAAAAAATCGGCGAATTTCAAAATGTGTTCAATTTTAACTTATTTATATAATAAGTCATTCTTGAATTGTTTTTTATTGAGCCGAATAGAGATCGAGTTAAAATAATTTGATTTGTTTTACCATCTTCACTTAAATAGATATGCCAAGAACATGAATGTTAAATTAAATATGAAATTATCAAAAGAAAAAATTATCAAGGCACCGTGGTGAATTTTTTTAAAAAAATATTCTTCATTTTCATAAGTCCAATACCCAAATCTACAACATAATTTACGTTATCCAAAAAATAACTAATAAGGTTATGGAACACAAATTATTAAAGTCAAATAGAAAAATAATTATGAAAGATGGAAAATAATGTGAAGAGCTGAAATCAAAAAGGTGCTTTGTTAATAATTAAGCAATAGAATAAATATTTCAAAAGAATATGGCGATATGAAATTATCAATTTGCCTGCCTAATGCTTCTCATTTCCGCTCATACACGTTTAAAGGATGTGTTTGTAAACTGTTGCAATTATAAGTTGTTGCTCATCCACAATTTTGTGACAGTCACTAGCTACATGTGTTGTAAATTACTTTACAGGTCGCTTTTCCCGTCTTAGAGGATTTGGAAATTCAGAAATTGCCTAACATAATAGAGATATGGAACAAGCAATTACTCATAGCCTCAGAAGAAGAATCAAAGTCCTTCTGCCAGTTGAAAGATATGAAGGTTTCTAATTGTGAGAAATTGGTACATGTGGTCACATTCAATATGTTGCCACGACTGCAAAATCTCAAAAAATTCAATGTGGATAATTGTCCAAGGATGGAAGCGATAGTCTCGGAGAAAGAAAAAGAAGAAGGAACCACTAGGAATGATATCATCATGTTCTCTCAATTATCAACCCTTAATCTTTCTGAGTTGGTGAGCCTTAAAAGTTTCTACAATGGGCCTACAAGATCTGAAGCACAACCATTGTTCAGCAACCAGGTCTGATTTTCCTTTTTTTTTTATTAACCCTTACATTGGGCAAGTGTGCGAAGAAAAAAAATTTAAAATTCTTTTTCCATTACAATTTTAAATTTGAAGCTTATTTGAATATTCTCTTTCTATCAAAATCCAAATAAAAATAAAATAATTGCAAGGTGGATATGCTAGGGGCCTACGATGGAAATTACAATATTAGCCAAACAAAGATATGTATGAATTCTAATACACCATATTTTTATTTTGAATATGAATCTTAATATGATTTTATTTGACTAAAATATACATATGTTTGTCTTATTTATCATTTCAACCGAACCCAAACGAGTTTTAATCGAATGGAGTTCGAGCAACTTGGTATTTTTCTGCCCATTTAAGTTTATAGATTTGAGTTCGAACTGAACTCAAAAAATCGGCGAATTTCAAAATGTGTTCAATTTTAACTTATTTATATAATAAGTCATTCTTGAATTGTTTTTTATCGAGCCGAATAGAGATCGAGTTAAAATAATTTGATTTGTTTTACCATCTTCACTTAAATAGATATTCCAAGAACATGAATATTAAATTAAATATGAAATTATCAAAGAAAAAATTATCAAGGCACCGTGGTGAATTTTTAAAATAAAATTTTCTTCGTTTTCATAAGTCCAATACTCAAATCTACAACATAATTTGCCTTATCTAAAAAATAACTAATAAGGTTATGGAACACAGATTATTAAAGTCAAATAGAAAAATAATTATGAAAGATGGAAAATAATGTGAAGAGCTGAAATAAAAAAGGTGCTTTGTTAATAATTAGGCAACAGAATTAATATTTCAAAAGAATATGACGATATGAAATTATCAATTTGCCTGCGTAATGCTTCTCATTTCCGCTCATACACGTTTAAAGCATGTGTTTGTAAACTGTTGCAATTATAAGTTGTTGTTCATCCACAATTTTGTGGCAGTCACTAGGTACATGTGTTGTAAATTACTTTACAGGTCGCTTTTCCCGTCTTAGAGGATTTCGAAATTCAGAAACTGCCTAACATAATAGAGATATGGGACAAGCAATCACTCATAGCCTCAGAAGAAGAATCAAAGTCCTTCTGCCAGCTGAAAGATATGAAGGTTTCTAATTGTGAGAAATTGGTACATGTGGTCCAATTCAATATGCTGCCACGACTGCAAAATCTCAAAACATTCAACGTGGATAATTGTCCAAGGATGGAAGCGATAGTCTCGGAGAAAGAAAAAGAAGAAGGAACCACTAGGAATGATATCATCGTGTTCTCTCAATTATCAACTCTTAATCTTTCTGTGTTGGTGAGCCTTAAAAGTTTCTACAACGAGCCTACAAGATCTGAAGCACAACCATTGTTCAACCACCAGGTTTGATTTTCCTTTTTCATTTTATTAACCCTTACCCTGGGAAAGCGTGCGCAGAAAAAAAATTAAAATTCTTTTTCCATTACAATTTTAAATTTGAAGCTTATTTGAATATTCTCTTTCTATCAAAATCCAAATAAAAGTAAAATAATTGCAAGGTGGATATGCTAGGGTCCTGCGATGGAAATTACAATATTAGCCAAACAAAGATATGTATGAATTCTAATACACCATATTTTTATTTTGAATATGAATCTTAATATGATTTTATTTGACTAAAATGTACATATGTTTGTCTTATTTATCATTTCAACCGAACCCAAACGAGTTTTAATCGAATGGAGTTCGAACAACTTGGTATTTTACTGCCCATTTAGGGTTGTATATCTGAGTTTGAACTGAACTCAAAAAATCGGCGAATTTCAAACTGTGTTCAATTTTAACTTATTTATATAATAAGTCATTCTCGAATTGTTTTTTTATTGTGCCGAATATAAATCAAGTTCAAATAATTTTATTGGCTTTAGCATCTTAACTTAAATTGATATGCTTGGAAAATGAATATTAAATTTATTGAAAAATTATCATGGCACTGTGGTGAATTTTTAAAATAAAATTTTCTTCTTTTTCATAGGTCCAATAATCTGATCTATAGCATAATTTGCCTTATCTAAAAAATAACTAATAAGATTATGGAACACAAATTATTAAAGGCAAATAGAAAAATAATGGTGAAAGATGGAAAACAATGTGATGAATTGATGACAAAAAGGTGCTTAGTTAATGATTAAGCAATACAATAAATGTTTCAAAAGAATATGACGATATGCATTTATCAATTTGCTTGTCTATGGCTTGTCATTTCTGCTCATACATGTTTAAAGCATGCATTTGGAAACTGTTGCAATTTTCAATTGTTGCTTATCCACAATTTTGTAACAGTCACTAACTACATGCGTTGTAAATTACTTCGTAGGTTGCTTTCCCCGTCCTGGAGGAGTTGAAAATTTTGGAATTGCCTAACATAATAGAGATATGGGACAAGCAATTAGTCATAGCCTCAGAAAAAGAATCAAAGTCCTTCTACCAACTGAAACATATGAACGTTTCTAATTGTGAGAAATTGGTACATGTGGTTCAGTTCAATATGCTCTCACGACTGCAAAATCTGAAAACATTCACCGTAGATCATTGTCCAAAGATGGAAGCGATAGTCTTGGAGAAAGGAAAAGAAGAAGAAACCACCAGTAATGATATCATCGTGTTCTCTCAATTAACGACTCTTAATCTATCAGAGTTGGTGAGCCTTAAAAGTTTCTACAACTGGCCCACAAGATCTGAAGCACAACCGTTGTTCAACCATAAGGTTTGATTTTCCTAATTTATTTTATTAACCCTTGCCATGGGAAACCGCGCGCACAAAAAAAATTAAAATTCCTTTTCAAATACAATTTTAAATTTGAAGCTTATTTGAATATTCTCTTTCTATCCAAATCCAAATAAAAGTAAAATAATTTCAAGGTGGATATGCTAGGGGCCTACGATGGAAATTACAATATTACCCAAACAAAAATATGTATGAATTCTAAATTTAACACTTTTATTTGACTAAAATTATGTCAAAAATTGTAATTTGCTTAACCTTGTTGTGGAGTTCATTAAAAAAATATTTAAATATTGGATATCATATTTTGTTTTTTTGGTTTTGGCTGATATGATTTTATTCTGTTTCACAATCCAAAATTATTCCCTTATAACCACTTTAAATTTAGATTGCAATTTCTCGATCATCAATCCTAAACTTCCTTCCTTTAGAATTATGCCTCTTGGGTTTTAGGCTAATGATAACAATTTCTACATGATTCCTAGTTGCAATATTATGGAAAAATCACTATTATAATTTCTTCTAAAACCTCAAAAATATTGAGCAATCCCTATTATAGGAGGTCACATATCAACTCCTACAATTTCACCATTACGAAAATGTTACTTGCCCATGCCCAAAACATCTTTGGAAACTTCTTGGAAGTTCAATCCCGACCATTGATCCAATTTTAAAACTACATTAATTGATGGATTATGCATGCTGGTTTGAGTTGTTACTAGCAAGTAATCAATAACAGCTTAAAGCTCAATCTTCTCTACTTTAGTGCTATATTTATTAGGGTCCAATGTTGCTATATCATTGTCAAGAACACAAAAACTAAGAGAAATTATTCAATCTTCTAGGAGACAAAAGGTTAAGTGTTAATCTATAAATGGAATAAAGCAACAATACTCCAAAAACTAAACACATAATGAAATATAGATATCTTACAAGGGGTGAGATCCCAAGGGTGGATCTAGGGGGTGTGGAGAGAGGAGACCACACCCCCAAAAATTTAGAAAATTTCATATATTATGTTAGAAAATTTAAAATAATTAAAAATAATAAGGATTTACACCTCCAAATATATGTGAGACCAACCTTTTACGAGATATTTGTATCTCATTTTTTGTTTTGTTTAGTCAAGCCTTCACATCATGCTATGTGGCAGTTTTAGCTAGCCTAAAATTAATTTTTTTAATTCAAAGGCGTGATCAAAGTTTGATCCCAACACTTTGAGTTTCATGAAGAACAATCTTACCACTTAGGCAACATACATATTATAATATTAATTTCTTTATTATTTATTTTTATTCTTATATGAATGGCACATATATTGCGTGTGTCACTTGCTAATCATTATTTACATGATTTATCATTTTTAATAAACATATCTATATATATATATATATATATATTTATTTTGAACATTTGGATTATAAATTTAGATAGAAATTTGGAAAGACAAAGGGAAATAAAAGAAAAAAAACATATATAATTTGTTGACACTACTTTTACATTTTTTTTTTTTATGAAAATCTTTACTTAAATTCATAATCAATACATAAAATAAAATTTTGGCTCATCAATATTAGAAACCTGTCTCATCAATCGTCATTGACGTTGAATTCCAATATACATGCCTACTTCATTCTGTTATTAAACATGATGACAAAATGAATCTTTGCAGGTTTTTTTTCCAAAGTTGGAGACACTATTTCTCGATAATTGTGTAAACTCAAGAGAGATACATCCTTGGAATGTTCAAGCTGGAAAAATAAGTTTAAAATTCCTGGATGTAGCGAATTTGGACAAATTAATTGTGAGAAATTGTAGTGAGGTGGTAGAGGTTTTTCAACTTGAGGGGCTAAATGTTGGAGAAGGACAACATGTTAGGCCATTAATTGAAGTAAGAATGATGGAATTGGATGGATTACCTTGGTTGACATGTTTGTGGAACAAGGATCCCCATGGAATTTTGGGCCTTCAAAGCCTACAATACCTAACAATTAAGAAATGTTCCCTCTTGAGAAATCTATTCACATGTTCTACCGCCATGGCTCTTGAACAACTTAAAGTACTTTATTTGGAGTCTTGTCCGGTGATGGAAGAAGTTATTACAGCAACAGAGGATGGGCTCAAGGAAGTGATTGATGATGTGATTGAGATCCCAAAGTTGGAGCGGCTAATACTGAAAGATCTACCAAACCTCAACAGTTTCTGTAATGCAAACTATAATTTTAATTTACCATCATTACAGAGAGTTGTTTTGAAGAGGTGTCCGAAGATGCACAACTTTTCTTTTGGACAAGTACGCATGTCACAGATATTTGTAAGTACATGTGGCAATGAAGGCCTTCAGATAAAAGATCTCAATAAGTATTTAGAGGAACGACTTCTGAAAGGAGAGGTAGACTTTCTTTCTCAACTTGATTTATGGTTAATTATTTTTTTCATTTGATGAACTCTTTTATCTTTGAATATTTACAAGAGACTACTCAACTGGAGTGCTTCACATGTATTTTTTGATTATATGTATTTTACATTCTTTTCTTTTAGGAATACGCAACCGTGGATGAAAATGATTACCACGACGATGAAGAACAGTTCTCCTACCTTGGATGGCTATATGAGTAAAGTAAGTTGATCATCCTTTATTATTAATATATATGTATAAATTTCATAATATTTATAGGAAAATTTTATAATAAACGTGTTAAAAAAAATGTATCATATGTCCAGTTATGATTTATCAGTTGAATATAATAAGTTGATCCTCCTTTTAAAAATAAAAAAAAAAGAAAAAAAAGGCAAATTACGATGGTGGTCCCTATATTTTACTTCTTGTGTCATTTTGGTCTCTACACTTTCAATTAACTCAATTTTAATTCCTAATTTTAGATTTTATTGTTCTAACGCCCTCAAATCAGACCCATAATATCCATAACATAAACATGCATTATTAAAAGAAAACAAATCTTTTGAATTATTCATCAGAGTACTTTTATTAAAAGTCATTACATGGAACATCAAAATAAATGCCCTAAGGGCTTACATCTTTCCAAGCTAACACTTGTACACAAAAGAATGAGTATTAACCCATTTACAAGTTAAGCCCTTGGCTTGAATGTTTACATGTAATCTTAATTAAAATAAATAACTAAAGACAAGTCTTCAGAAATCCGAATCCTTTCAAGCTAAGTCCTGGGAGGTAACTTATCACCTGAACTTGAAAATGATGTTCCCATAAAGGGTGAGCCACAGCCCAGTAGAAATATACTAAACTACATATAAGCAATGAATAAAGCAATGGCATTCAACAGATGGTTAACCAAGATAATTAATTATCCCATTCTACTGTCTCATGACACTATTGTCTAAGACTCGTTTTACTTTCCAATTTTATCAACATGGCTCAGAACCTGGCCAAACTTACAACAGTGAATTACATATATAATAATCACATCCTTCCAATATCAACAACAAATGAGACTCAAGCTCAAATCAAAACACTTCATACTTCCAAATTGATACACATTTTAGTGCTGTATCATCAAAACACTTCAATATCAATAAGCTCACATAAAAGTGATGCTAATGGAGTCCATCCCCTATTTCCTCCCAAACAAAATCCGGTTTAGAGGTCCATCCCCTATCTTCCCCTAAACCGTGGAGTACATCCCCTATCTCCTCCCACACAAAAACAATGTATGCAAATGCAATGCTCAATCAATACATATATTTTCTGTATCAATGCAACAGTCAAAATCAATGACTTAACCAATGTGATTAGTTTCAGTTATTCCTAATCCACATGCAATATCTACAACAATCACGACTATCCTCCACCGATAGCCCAAAACAGTTATTTCTAAACTGAAAATAACTATGTAACAATTCAATAGACATATGATTCCAATTATTCAACTATGCCATTTAATCAATGAGTTTCCCAATTCCATGAATTAATTATACAAATTAATTTAATAATTCATCTTGAGTTTTTCCCAATATTTACGAAAGTATCCCCAACATATTAACTACCAAAACTTAGAACAAAACCTATACAATGGAGTAGGAAATCCCTACCTCGAAGAAATAGCCCCAAAAGAGAAGATGGAGATGAAGACCCAAACTCCAAAGTGCTCCAAACTACCAACAATTCAGATTAAATGGAAGCCCTCGACTTACCCTATCTTTTTAATGAAGGATCTAGGGTAGAAACACACCCTACGTAGATCAAATCTAAGAGAGAAGGTGAGTAGAGAGAGAGAGAAGTCGGACCTAGGGTTTGGAATCAAAAGAATATGAAAAAGACTGATCAAATCCCGCTGCTATATATATAAACTGGACAGGCTCGCTCGAGCGAAGACTTGGTCGCTCGAGCGACCAGACACAGAGAAACTACGCTCGAGCCAAGGAAGCCTTGCTCGAGCCAACAACCCAAAAGCTCGCTCGAGCGAAAGAAAACTCGATCGAGCGAAGAACTCAAACCCTCAGGTCTGTAACCAGACACACGCTCGAGCGAAGAAACTATTGCTCGAGCGAAGAACGAACTAACTCGCTCGAGCGAAGAAAAGCTCGCTCGAGCCAAGAATGCACAGCTACAGGTCCAAATCAGACGCAACCCCTCGCTCGAGCTTCCAAACCCTGGCTCGAGCGAATAACCAAAACAACATCTCGCTCGAGCGACAAACTCATCGCTCGAGCAAAGACCCAAAATTCTGGACAGCAACACTCGGTTTCTAAACCCAACCAACCTGAAACAAACCTGCCCAACACATCCTATAAGTCTAGATGAACAAATAAGGGACAACAACAACACTCATACAATAACAGAATCTACGGAACCTAAGTCCGGATACAATAATCAAATGGGAAAAGACCGGGGTCGCTATAACTTTAATTTGTCCAATTAATAATATTGTTAGTTTTTTTTAAGGAAAATTATCACTAAATTGATTGAGGTTAACTAACTTAGTCGAATAAGTTTATAATTTTACCCTAAAAAATATGGTACATGACACGTACATGCTTATTTTTCATAAAAAAAATAAAAAAATACTAAAAGTTGTAATCAATTGGATCAAATTGAGACAAAATCATAAATTTAGAGTCAAAATCGAGCGAATTGAAAGTACAGAGACTAAAATGACATAGGGGGTAAAGTACAAGGACTACTGTCGTAATTTGTCCAATATATATATATATAGGGTAATGCTACCAGATACAAGTTATGTCATTTGTGAGTTTGATAATCACAGATGACATAACTCAATAGTATGAGAATCATAACAAATAATAATAATAATAATAACCAAACATCACATGAGGTATAACCAAACAACTTTTGAATCATAACAAAAATAATTTCATAACCAATATCACAATGTGTCATAATTGACAACACAACAAGGCATAACCAAAGACACAAAAGTGTAAACCAAAGCATAGAATTTCCCTATATTATATATATATACATATCTCATAATATTTATAAGGTAATTCTATATAACACTTTAAAAAATGATGTATTATATGCCTGACTTTTTGTGGTCTTTAGCTATAACTCATTTAGTTATAATCACTTATAGATGTTATTTTGGTTAGAACCAAAGAAATTTTTGATAATACTTCAAGTGATATTTGATTATGATGCATTTTGGTGTTGGTTATAACTCGTAATGGTAGCCATAATTTAGTTATAACTTACTGTAATTGTTATTTTGCTTTAATAGGAGAATTTATTGGTTATATGTAAAATGAGATTTAATTATGATTTATTACGGTCCTTTTGCTTATGACTAAAAGTTTATATTAAAATCACAAACAATATCTTAACTTGCATGTGGTGCACTCCAAAATAGGAATGTGTATTGTAGAAGCTCTTTTTATTTGGCATGTTTGGTGCAGCTAGTAAGCTAAAAGTTTTTTTTGGATGGGTAATAAGCTAAAAATTGATAATAAAAAAAAAACACCCCCTCCTCCATCTCCTAAATAGTCTTCTTTTGTTTTTAGTTTATTTAAATTGTTTGGGTTATGTAATATATAAATAAAAGGTTCACTAAATAATCTAACACATTTTTAAAATAAAAAATATATATATTGTAAATAACTCAAATAATCTGTACCAAATACCCTATTATAATATTGCTAAATTCCTGACACTAACAACTTTTTATTGTATATTTATATATATCTAGATGGGTAATTGATAGAATCATTGGCAGCCAACAAATCTTTTTCCTATTAGGACACTCTTTGCTACCTTGGTGCAAATTGAGTTCAAGTTAACTCTGTTACTATAGGCTATGTTAGGAAATCATGAATTTGTAGAGGGATTGTGGATTCAAATAATAAAAAAATGAAAAAAAAAATAAGAAGAAAATGAAGTAAAATAAACTAAATTTATTTAATCTTTTGTTTTTCTTTTTCTCTTGATAAATATGCTGTGTAGAAATTTAATCATTCCAATCATAAAATAAAGTAAAAAACAAAAAACAAAAAAACAAAACACATAACACAAGATATACATGATACGTTCTAGTCCTCTCCCTTCATAAAAAAAAAAAAAACTCCTGACAATAAATCTGAACATATAGCATACTAGATACCTCACAACAAAATTCAAAATCGAAACATAATGTTAAGATTTGAGTCCCTTTATTAAAAAATTTCTGAAAAAGAAAACTAATCAAAAGGTACCTGTACATATTAATTCGATAAGAGAAATTATTTGAATTTTTATTTTATTCTTCACAAATTGCTTCTCAAATGCAAAATCTAAAAGCCCATATTAAAATTAAAGATTTTTGAATTTTGTTTTCTTAAATGATTAAATTCAAAATGCTTTTTGTAATTATAAAATCTCCATGCATCTTCCAATAATTTTTTTGTATATTTTGTTTTACTTTGACTCCATCAATATTTTGGTGTGCAGTTATATATGATCGAGTTCAAGTTGCTGAGATTGGAGTATGCTGGATTACCCTCCTACAGTCAATGGCAAACTTATTATTTCTTCCAATAAGTTAAAAAGCAAAAAAATAAAAAAATAAATTGCAAAACTATTCAGCTACCTATAGTTGTATAAGAAATGATATGTGTGTGTGTGTGTGTGAGTGAATATGTGCGGTAGTAATGTCATATTACTCTATCTTGGTTCTTGAACTTGCTGATGAGATAGAATTTGTATGATTTTGGAGGCTAAGTGTGCTAATTATGTGGGATATATACTAGCAGGGTATTTTATTAATTTATTTTTGTTGGGATTTTATTATTATTTTTTTAT